AAATTTAAGTTCAAGGGGATGGATCTCTACCTTAGGTCTTGAATGTTAAGGTGTAGGAGCCTAATTATGCAATCCTTTCTTGAATTCTTCAAATTTCCTAGCCAAAACTTGATGAAATCAATTCTCCTACTCTCCCTCTCTCACTCACTCGTTTTGGTCTTGAAACAAAAGTCTGAATTATGGTGTATCAACAAGTATGAGGTATAAGGAGTGTAGGTCTAGGATTGTCCACTAAGTGGCAAAATTATAATAAACTTATTTAATGTAATTTAACTTTATTTAATCATACCAAATCAAATTTAAATTAAATTTACCATAAAGTCACATAAATTCTAATTATCACATAGCACTAATCAATTTCGAAATCAGGCGCCGATAAGGCTTTCAATTCCTAGTTCAAAGTCAAAACATGAACAAGTCATTCCATGGCAAACAGATAGAAACGCAAAGATAATGCAATACATATGCAAATTAATTCTGGATTCCTTCTGAATTACTGTTAGGCATAACTAATCATGGATTAGCATTAATTCGAGGTCGGGGTTATTACAAAAAACCACAATTGGAGAACCTCCAAATGTGACTAAAAAACCATGGGCGAAACGTTACTAATCAATCCACTATGAAAGAAAGAAAGAGTACAAATATACCAAAACAAATTACCCAAATGCAATCAATTTGTCTTTAACAATCTGTAACTCTTTTACCACCGCCTTCGTCTTGAAATTGATTAGCTTGATGTTGAATCCAAAACATCTATGTTGAATCAACGACTACGCACAGCTTCGAACTCCTTCGAATACTCCACGCTTGAATCTCCAGATTCCACGAAAGAAGAACACTCTTGTATTTGAATAATCAATCAACTCTTTGATGTATACTTTGTCAAACCATGAGTTTAATACTCAACCAAACATCAAAGAAACTACCAAAGTTGCTTTAGAAGAAAACCCTAATGCCCTCAAATAAGATCTAGAAGTCGTACCCTAAAACCTGACTGAAACGTAGTTTTTATAGCAAACAAATCCGCAATCCCCGCTTGAGCGCAGGAATTGCTACTAGAGCGGTGTCACTAATATGTGAGAAACAAAACAGGGTTTACACTCGAGTGCTAGAACTTACGCTCGAGCGCAGGTTTGCTTGCTCAAGCGAGAAGACCAAAAACAAGGAAAAATTACAACTCAATTAAACCAAGCTTGTTCGTTGAATTGGAAACAAGTAGGGACCTAACAATCTCCCCCTTTGTCAATTCCCGAACAAAACTAACTTTCCAACATTTTTTTCCTAACAAACACACTCACTAGTCACACTAACTAACACAACCAACACACAAAACACTCCTAAAAAGTTGGGAGCACAAACAAGCCACCTGTTAAGCCAAAAACCAAAACACTAGAGATATGATATTAGGATATGAAACACATGCAGATAGACATAGATATAAGCATAATTGATATCAAAAATCTTGTGAGTGGCAAATCATATATAGTCAAATCATATCATATCCTCTATGTGTGTGTCCAGCAATAACCAAAACAAATATCCAAATATCCACCAAATCCCAAATAAGTACTCCTCCTTTTTGTCTGGGAGACAACATAAAGCAAGAGCTAGAGAACCACGACCAATAGTAACAAAAACAGGAGAGACAGAAGAAGAAAAAAATAGAAAACAAATTGTCTAAGAGAGAAACTAGCCAAGAGAGAAAAAAAATAATGTCCAATGAGCAACAAAATCAAGGATCTGGCGGCGGTGGATAAGGCTGCTACAGCTGAAGCAAGGAGATAATCTGAGTAAGCTAAAGAGTAATACGTGCTGTCGACTGCTCAAGATATCCAAGCCGGCCATTGAAGGCATCAAAATGAGCATCTATGTGATCCAATCGCTGAGTCATGGACTGCTCAAACCAGTGAAGCTGGCCACGAATGGTTTGTAGATGGACATCAGGCTCCTCTGCACTTGCCGCTGCAGCATTAATCTCGGTCTCCTCAACTAGAAGATCATCATCACCTACAAAAAAAGGTGTAATAACCCCGACCTCCGATTAATGCTAAACCATGATTATTTATGCCTAACAGTAATTTAGGGAGACTCCGGAATTAAATTGCGTATGTATTGCATTATCTTAGTGTTTCTATCTGTTTGCCATAAAATGATCTGTTCATGTTTTATGTTTTAAACTGCAAATTGAAGGCCTTATCGGCGGCCAAATCCGAAACTGATTAGTGTTTTGTGTTAATTAGAATTAATGTGATTTTATGGTAAATTTAGTTGAAATTTGATTTGATATGATTAAATTGGATTAAATAAGCTAAATTACATTAGTTGGACTTATCTACCATTATGCCACTTAGTGGCTTGATTTGAGACCAACCTTATTACACTTAGTAGCATATTTCCTCAGCCACTTTCTTGGTCAAAACTGACTAGAGAGGGAGAGTTAGGAGAAAATTGAATTCAACTAGAGAATTGGATTGGAACTTAGGAGAATTGAAAAGGCTTTGCAAATTTGAGCTCCTAGACTTGGAATTCAAGACTTAAGGTAGGACATTTCCCTTTCAATTGTGAATTTAAGATTAATTCTTGCATGGTTCATAGAAGATTAGAGTTTAAAGTCTAGAATTGGTTTAAGAGTTGGATTTGAGAGTGAATTCATGCATGCATGCACATATTCTTGGATTTTGGAGTTGTTCCTCATGAATTTCCACATACATGTCCACATTTTTGTTATAGTCCATGAATTCATCCTATTCTTGAGCTTAATCTTGCCTTGGATCATGTTTTGGAGCATTAGAAGTCATGAGAATTCATGCATGTTACATTTAAGTTATGTTCTTGAAGTTTTATTTGAAATTGTGTTTAATTGACTCACATTTGGGCTTGATTTTACAAATTGATCTTTGAAACATCTTAGACTATGAGTTTACAAGTGTTTTGTAGAAAATGGGCCCAAGAGGTCGAGTTTTGAAGTGTTGAATGCCTGGTTTGAGCTTGGGAGGCAAATCTGGAAATTCTAGAATTTGGCTTCCTCCCTCGAGCGAAGGATTCCACGTTCGAGCGACCATCGTTTGTTCAGAGCTCTGCTCGAGCAAAGGAATGGTGGCTCGAGCGTAAATTGCAAGCTCTCAGGTTTTTGGTACACGTAGACGCACGCTCGAGCGACGAGACCTACGCTCGAGCAAAGAGCTGTGTCTTACGCCCGAGCAAGCATCGAGCGGGCATCGAGCGTAAAATTTCAACAACCAGTACTTTTGCATTTTTACAGACCGCTCGAGCGAAGGAGCCTACGCTCGAGCGACCCCTCTATTTTGACAAGCTCGCTCGAGCGAAGGAAGCTATGCTCGAGCGAGACCCCTGTTTTCAGCAAGTTTTGAAAAATGTTTTCCATGACATCATTGTATCCTCATTCCATCCTAGGCATTCCTAGGCCATGTTTAAGACTCTATAGTGAGGATTTAAGGTTAGAAACACACTAAGAACTAGCGACGTAAGTTTTGTGCAATTAGAATGTGTGTTTCAAGTGTGTGTCCGTTATGTGTTATGTAGGTCACGTGCCGCGTGTTGTGTGATCAATCTGCTCCGTCTGTCTGTTTCAAGGCCAACTGTGAGTAATAATTTAGTAAAGTTATGTTCAAACTGTATCTACTTTCTGTGTGATAAAACAAGATCTGTTTTCTGAAATGATATGTTATGTACAATGAATGATTGTTCAATTTCTGATATGTATTCGTGACATCCTTAGCATCATGTGATATTTGTTAACTATTACCCGGTATTGGAGGTTCCTTTATAGAACTTATTTCTATCTGCACTCTGTTACCCGTACCGGAGGCCCTGTCACTGGGGCTCAGCTTCTGTTCTGTTATGTTATCCGAATCCGGAGGTTCCTTTATGGAACTGGTTATTCGTAACCTCATGTGTGTACGTTCTGTTCTGTTTTGTTAATGCTAATGGATGTATCATGTAAACTTAATCATGACTTATGATTTCTGTCTGTATATGATCTGGATAAACTATGATTTTGATATGAACTGAATTATGATTTCTGAATCTGTACGAACTCATTCATTGAAACCCTTTACTCTATTATTATTCACTGGGCTTTCGCTCACAGTTTATATTATGTATGTACGTGAGCCGGCGTGTGACTAGGGCCAGAGTTGACGACCTTCTGTTTTGTTTTTGTCAGCCAACTGTTGCGCCTCCCGAGGAGGTTCCGAACGAAGCTTATAGCCATGGCTGTGTGTTTTTGTATTTATGCTAGTCTTGTAAAGTCAGGTCTTGGGAAGTACAATCTGTAAATACCTTGTAAATATTGTGTATCTGGACTGGCATGTTTATGGATATATAAATAAGTTTTGAAATGTTCTGTCCCATGTACGTTATCATAGCTCATTGGACCTTGTCTATTTTATATTATTGCTTCTGCAACCCCTTATTATTTGCTAATCTGTTCAGAGGCCTTTGGTAATCCACGGATTACTGGCCGGTTACGGTGATAAACCTATAGGGGCGGGTTTGGGTTGTGACAGAGTGGTATCAGAGCACGTGTTCTACCACACACACAGGTCCGTATGAGGTTAGGATGTCCTAGTAAGAGTTAGGGGCATTCCATCTACATGTGTGAGTGTGTGGTAATGCAACTGAATATGAAAACTGAATGTACATTTGAATCAAATGAATTGAAGGAAACAAATGAGATTATGCTTGTGTTTTTTATCATTTGATGTCTATATAGTAAGATGGAGAATGCAAGGGGAAGTGGTGAAAGTGAATCTTCAGAGGCCCGCATGGGCCGAATGGAACAGATGTTAGCAGCATTGATTGAAGCCTGGACACAACAACAAAGACAACAACCTTTGCCCTCTCCGCCTCCACCGGCACAAGCCGAGGCAGATAATACTGACATCATCAATCTGACACAGAAATTTATGAAAATGAAACCACCAACATTCTATGGTGGAATTGAACCTCTCAAAGCTGAGACGTGGTTGCTTGAGATGGAAAAATTGTATGAAGTATTTCCTTGTTCTGAAACTCAGAAAGTCAAAGTCCTCCTAGCCACCTACACTCTGAAAGATGAAGCTCGCAGGTGGTGGTTACTAATTCGAAGTGGCAATGGAAATATGACATTGGCACAGTTTAATGCTATCTTCTACGACAAGTACTTTCCCCAATGTTTCAGGGATCAGAAATTGTCTGAATTTCAAGGACTCAAACAGGGAAGGATGTCTGTGGTAGAATATAAAGCTAAATTCACCGAACTGGCACGGTTTGCTCCACATATGGTGGATACAGATTACAAGAAAGCACGAAAGTTTGAAGGTGGATTGGATTTGGAGGTATTTGATCGAGTAGGTGTACTGAAATTGCCTACTTATGTGGAAGTGTTAGACAGATCCTTAATGGCAGAGGCCACCCTAGCCGCCATGAAACAAGGTAAAGCCCCAATAACTACAACAACTGAGTGGAGAGGAAAAAGATCTGGGTTTGGTTTTAAAAAAGGTCAGTCCTTTGTTAGTAAGAAGCAAAACACAGGGACTTCGAACAGCTCGAGTCAGAGTAGTGGGTCTATTCCGGTCTGTTTTGTTTGTGGTAAAAGGCACAGGAGTGTGTGCTACCGAACGTCCGGTGCTTGTTTCTGGTGTGGCCAGCCTGGTCATGTAGTGAAAGATTGCCCGCTCAGGTCTGAGACTACTAGCCGTCCTGCAGCAAGTTCAGCGGGATCCGCTTCTGTGGCCAAAACCAATGCCAAAGCCAATACTAGGAAAGAACCTCCGAGACAAGGCCGAGTGTTTGCCTTAGTGCCCGGTGACGTACCGAACACCTATACTGTGGTGTCAGGTACACTCTCTATATGTTCTCAAAATGCATGTGTACTGATAGATTCTGGTTCTACACGTTCCTTTGTATCGCATGCTTTTTCTCGAAAATTGACTAGACCCTTGGAACTTATGACCCAAGTGTTATCTGTGTCCACGCCGTCTGGGAATTCTATGATGTGTGCTCATGTTTATCCAGCATGTGATGTTATGATTGGCGATATGATATTGTATGTAGACTTATTACCCTTGGACATTAATCATTTTGATTGTATTTTGGGGATGGACTGGTTGACTAAATACTGTGCTACCATTGACTGTGCGAATAAAATTGTTGTGTTTAGACCACCAAGTATGTCTAAATTTACTTTTATTGGGAATGGGGTAGTTCCTCCCCCATATTTGATTTCGGCTATGAAAGCTGTAAAACTCCTTAGGAAGGGATGTAGGGGTTATCTGTGTTGTATACTGACTGCACCATCTGACAGTACTACTGTAGAAACAATCCCTGTTGCTTGTGAATTTCCCGATGTGTTTCCGACTGACTTACTTGGAGACTTAGTTGATAAAGAAATTGAATTCACTGTTGAGGTGTTTCCGGGGACACAACCTATTTCCAAGACTCCCTATAGAATGTCTACCTCTGAATTGAAAGAATTGAAAACCCAACTTCAGGACTTGTTAGACAAGAAATTTATCCGTCCGAGTACTTCACCTTGGGGTGCTCCAGTTTGTTTGTCAAAAAGAAGGATGGATCTTTAAGATTGTGTATAAACTACTGAGAACTGAACAAAGTGACTATCAAGAATAAATACCCTCTGCCCCGAATAGATGACTTGTTTGATTAACTTCAGGGTGCCCAAGTGTTTTCCAAAATTGACCTCAGGTCCGGGTATCATCAATTAAAGGTTAGAGCTGAGGACATAGAGAAAACTGCATTCCGAACTAGATATGGACATTATGAATTTTTAGTAATGCCGTTTGGGATGACCAATGCACCTGCAGCTTTCATGGATCTTATGAATAGGGTGTTTAAATTATATCTGGATGACTTCATTGTTGTATTTATTGATGACATTTTGATTTATTCTAAAGACAGGGAAGAACATGAGAACCATCTGAGAACCACCTTCCAGATTTTGAAAGAAAAGAAATTGTATGCTAAATTGTCCAAGTGTGAATTCTGGCTTGACAGTGTGGCATTTTTGGGGCATGTAATCAACAAGGATGGAGTTTCTGTTGACCCTCAGAAAATTGAAGCTGTTGTGGATTGGCCTAGACCGACAAATTTGACAGAAGTCCGAAGTTTTCTAGGACTTACAAGTTGCTACCGGAGGTTTGTGAAAGACTTTTCCAAGCTTGCCATGCCATTGACTCAGTTAACTCAGAAAAATGTGCCATTTGACTGGAATGAACAAAGAGAGGCAGCTTTTCAAGAGTTGAAAACCAGGTTAGTGACTGCACTAATCTTAACCTTGCCTAATGGTACTGATGGGTTTCAAGTGTACAGTGATGCTTCTTATAAAGGCTTGGGGTGCGTACTAATGCAAAACGGAAGGGTGATTACCTATGCTTCTAGACAACTTCGACCTCATGAAAAGAATTACCCAACACATGACCTTGAATTAGCGGCTGTGGTGTTTGCTTTGAAAATATGGCGTCACTATTTGTATGGGGTAACTTGCGAGGTGTATACAGACCATAAAAGTTTGAAATATTTCTTCACCCAAAAGGAATTGAACATGAGACAGAGACGATGGTTAGAACTAATCAAGGATTATGACTTGCAAATCTTGTATCATCCAGGAAAGGTTAATATCGTAGCACATGCCTTGAGCTGAAAATCCAGTGCGAATTTGTCATGTTTGCTATCTAACCGAAAAGAATTGTTGACTAACCTAGAACAAGATGGGCTATTAAATGCTATAGCCGCTCAACCTACAATTCTTGACGAGATCAAACAGAAACATTGCGAAGATGAATACTTGAAAAAGATCACGGAGGAACTTGATTCAAAGCCAAGGCTAGGATTTGTGTTTGAGAATGATGTGCTGAAATTTCAGAACCGTCTTTGTGTGCCCGATTGTTATGATTTGAGGAAATGTGTTATGACCGAAGCTCACAGTAGTAAATTTGCTATGCATCCAGGGAACACGAAGATGTATCATAATTTGAAACAGAAGTTTTGCTGGCCTGGAATGAAACAGAGTATTGTAGACTTTGTGGCTAGATGTCTACAGTGCTAACAGGTTAAAGCTGAACACCAACGACCCGCTGGTTTGCTACAACCACTTCCAATACCGAAATGGAAATGAGAGCACATTACCATGGACTTCATTATGGGATTGCCTTGTTTTTCTCGAGGTATAGACTCTATCTGGGTTATAGTTGACCGTTTAACTAAGTCTGCCTATTTTCTGGCTGTCAAAACTATTTTTAACGCTGATAAATTGGCCAGTATCTATATGACTGAAATTGTGAGATTGCATGGAGTGCCAATATCTATTGTGTTTGGTAGGGACTCAAAGTTTGTATCGAGATTTTGGCAGAGTTTGCAACAGGCTTTGGGGAGTGAATTGAGACTGAGCAGTGCCTATCACCCACAGACAGATGGCCAAACTGAACGAACGAACCAAACTCTGGAGGATATGCTCAGAATGTGTGTGTTAGACTTCCAAGGGAATTGGGAGACCTACTTGCCATTAGCTGAATTTGTGTACAAAAACAGTTACCATTCAAGCATTGGAATGGCTCCTTACGAAGCTTTGTATGGAAGAAAATGTCACTCTCCGATATGTTGGGCTGAAGTAGGTGATAGACCTTTGTTGGGACCGGAACTTGTGCAAGAAACAACCGAGAAAGCAAAACTGATACAGCAGCATCTGAAAACTGCACAGAATCGGCAGAAGAGCTATGCCGATGTTCGAAGAAGAGATAGGGAATATGAAATTGGGAACCACGTGTTTATAAAGGTGACCCCGATGAAGGGTCAAACTTGGTTTGGTGTTAAGGGAAAATTGGCGCCAAGATATGTTGGACCTTATGAAGTCCTCGAAAAGATCAATCCGATATCGTATCGGGTAGCCTTACCTCCAGTAATGGAACATATGCATAACGTCTTTCATGTATCGACACTACGAGAATATTTGAGGGATCCACTCCACGTCATCGAACCAACACACGTGCTTTTGAAAGATGACTACACTTATGAGGAAAGACCTATCCAGATTGTGAATCGTCGGATCAAAAAGTTGAGAAATAAAGAAATACCGTTGGTAAAAGTTGATTGGCAAAACCATGGAGGAACCTATGCAACTTGGGAAACCGAGGAAGACATGATAAAGAGATATCTGGATTTGTTCCCATTGGACCTAATGTTGATTTCGAATGAAGGTAATTCGAGTTTGGAGGACCAAACTCTTTTAAGGGGGGAAGACTGTAATAACCCCGACCTCCGATTAATGCTAAACCATGATTATTTATGCTTAACAATAATTTAGGGGGACTCCGGAATTAAATTGCATATGTATTGTATTATCTTAGTGTTTCTATCTGTTTGCCATAAAATGATATGTTCATGTTTTATGTTTTAAACTGCAAATTGAAGGCCTTATCGGCGGCCGAATCCGAAATTGATTAGTGTTTTGTGTTAATTAGAATTAATGTGATTTTATGGTAAATTTAGTTGAGATTTGATTTGGTATGATTAAATTGAATTAAATAAGCTAAATTACATTAGCTAGACTTATCTACCATTATGCCACTTAGTGGCTTGATTTGAGACCAACCTTATTACACTTAGTAGCATATTTCCTCAGCCATTTTCATCGCCCAAACCGACTAGAGAGGGAGAATTAGGAGAAAATTGAATTCAACAAGAGAATTGGCTTGGAACTTAGGAGAATTGAAGAGGCTTTGCAAATTTGAGCTCCTAGACTTGGAATTCAAGACATACGGTAGGAGATTTCCCTTTCAATTGTGAATTTAAGATTAATTCTTGCACGGTTCATGGAAGATTAGAGTTTAAAGTCTAGAATTGGTTTAAGAGTTGGATTTGAGAGTGAATTCATGCATGCATGCATATATTCTTGGATTTTGGAGTTGTTCTTCATGAATTTCCACATGCATGTCCACATTTTTGTTATAGTCCATGAATTCATCCTATTCTTGAGCTTAATCTTGCCTTGGATCATGTTTTGGAGCATTAGAAGTCATGAGAATTCATGCATGTTACATTTAAGTTTTGTTCTTGAAGTTTTATTTGAAATTGTGTTTAATTGACTCACCTTTGGGCTTGATTTTACAAATTTATCTTTGAAACATCTTATACTATGAGTTTACAAGTGTTTTCCAGAAAATGGGCCCAAGAGGTCGAGTTTTGAGTTGTTGAATGCTTGGTTTGAGCTTGTGAGGCAAATCTGGAAATTCCAGAAGTTGGTTTCCTTGCTCGAGTGAAGGATTTCACACTCGAGCGACCATCGTTTGTTCAGAGCTCCGCTCGAGCGAAGGAATGGTGGCTCGAGCGTAAATTGCAAGCTCTCAGGTTTTTGGTGCACGCAGACACACACTCGAGCGACGAGACCTACGCTCGAGCAAAGAGCTGTGTCTCACGCTCAAGCGAGCATCGAGCGTAAAATTTCAAAGACCAGTACTTTTGCATTTTTACAGACCGCTCGAGTGAAGGAGTCTACGCTCGAGCAACCCCTCTGTTTTGACAAGCTCGCTCGAGCGAAGGAAGCTACGCTCGAGCGAGACCCCTGTTTTCAGCAAGTTTTGAAAAATGTTTTCCAAAACATCTTTGCATCCTCATTCCATCCTAGGCATTCCTAGGCCATGTTTAAGACT